TGTTTCTTATTACCGTGTAAGGTGTCTGGATTTCATGAAGTTGTAAGTGGTGACATCCAGAAGGACATTTTCAAGTGCAAATAAGAGACCAGTGATGGTAACTTCTGTTCAGCTTGAGGGCTGGCAGTCACATTGTTTCAGTATTTTGTGACTCAGGAAAATGCATCCGTTGGGGTGCCACGAAGAAGGAATATTTCGATGCTCATTTTGCAGTGATATGCAGGATGTTGTGTCTGCCCAACAGTCTCTGGAAGTGACAGTGAAAAAAAATCTATCTTCACTGAAGACTTGTTTTCAAGACCTGAAATATCTAAGCAATACACGTTAAATAAAACAAATATAAATAAGGGACTATGAATTAGTGCTGACTCTTGTTCAACCAGCCACCATAACTTTTTGCTGTGAACTGTATAGAGAAATGTGTGCCAGAGAGACAAAAGAGTCAATAAGAACAATAGAGTGACCAAAAAACCAAGAGGGATCTGGACTGAATTGCTTATGCTCTGTTACAGTAACAGGGGCACCATCAGTACATGAAAATTCCACTGCAATGAGAAGCAATTTCATGGTAATTCATGCAGACATTGCTCTCGTCTTCTGGCAAGGTTATCTAGGGATAAAAGTTATAAAAAGAAGGTATTCAAATGAACTTCTTGCTTTAATTGACTGGAGGTCCATACAGCATCTCTTGTACTTATCTCTTTGCATTCATACTTAAAAAAAAAGAAGCAATAAAATGAGGATCTTTTTTTTTTTTTTGCGTTTAGTAGTCGAGAAGAAGCAAAATACTACATTACACAGTGAAAAGTGAAAGGACTGAATTCTGAATGATGAGTAATGCAATGCTATACATATATATACATACAGAATATACATAATGTACATGCAGACATATGCATAATACATACGTGATTCTGAAGTCTGTGTTTTGGGAATTGATTGTTATTAGATCACTTGATCTACATGATGCCAGTAAAACTTCATGTAACTGATTTGTTTTATGAATCTGCACAGTAGGTTTTGCATACTGTGAAAATCACACCACTGTAGATTTGCAATCAAACTGGCTTTTAAGGACTGTCTACTATAGAAGCTGTGGGGAAAATGGCCAATACTTCAAACTCTTGACCAATTCTTAAAATATCACTTTGGTTGCAAGTTAAAACAAACAAACAAAAAACCCACAAAAGCAACAAAACCAAGACTAAACACATTCAGATTTCTCTTACTCTTTGCCTTTTGTGTATCCTACTGCAACTGTAATCCCAAATTTTTACCTCCTCCTTCACTTCTGAAAATATTTGTTTGGTGGTACCCTTCTGCTAAAAAACATCTCTTGATTTTACCAAGAGAGAGCATACGAGTCTTGATATTTATGCAGAGAAAGTTAAGAAATATCATTATTTTGAACACGACTCTTAGCAAGATTAACAATAATAATTATCTATGAAAAAGTCACGACTGAGAGAAAGACTCCTGCTAGTATGCAGTAAATAAATACTTCTGTCAATTTTAGATGGGTCTTGACAGTTGTTCTTTTTCTTACTGTCTCCATCTTAAGAGAAAAGAAAAAAATTATTTAATACTTCTCAGTCTATTATCTGCCAATCTTAGGACTGTTTTATAACTACAGAAAGGCATCTTTAGAATACTAGATTTCACCAGATTAAAAGCCTTTGTGTTGCTTTGTTCACAAGCTATTTCAGAAGATGAAATGAACCTGTGGTAGGTGTGCATGGGATTATTTTACATTCCTGCTACAATTTATATGACACTCTCAAAGCTGAAGCATTAAGGCATATGTTTCTTCTGACAAGGAATTTTAAAATGTTTTACTGTGAAAATGAAGAAGGTTAAGGCTCTAATTTCCCTCTTTTCTATCCTCCTTCTGCTCTTCTTTCTATTCCTCTTGCCACTCTTTCCTGTTGTTTATCTTTTCATTGGTAAATAATAACAGCTTATCAGCATATTTACTTCTCTTATGCAAGTTACAATGGCACAGGTGATTGCCAGAGAGCTGTTGCACTCAACCACTTAAAATAGCAATAGCAGTAGCAGAGCCAATACTGTCAATATTTGTGGTGTTCCTTTGGGAGTTTGGCTTCACATGGGAGAAGTGTGTTCTGTGTGGATGGCAAATATGTCTTTGACAAATTGACTATCTTCCCTTTTAATGTAGGGGGGAAAAAAAACCCTGAAATGAGTATCTGTATCCCCTGATTTCTATTTCCATGTAATTACTCAGTGGCACAAGTATTCTGTCTTAAACTGCAATTTAACTTTCAGAAGGAGAAACAATCTGTATTGTGAGAAGAGGGAGCATCTACAGTAACTTTGCCATCTTTCAGCTTATTTGATATGACTGAAACTACTGTGCTCTAGGCAAGTAACAGTGCTACTCTCTGGCAGTATGTGCATTCAGGACTTTACCCTTCCTTCCCTTCATGCAAAGCTATTGATCTCCTATTCAAATCCTGAAATGGGTCAAATTAAAAGACAATGAGTGACTTCCTTGCTAGGGAGGATCTTGGGGCAGGGTGGCTGCAAGGTTGGTTGATGATCGGTGTGCCCAGGCAGCAAAAAAGGCCAATAGCATCCTGGCTTGTAGAAGAAGAAGTAGTGCTGCCATCAGGAGCAGGGAAGTTATCGTCCCTCTGTACTTCAGCTCTGCTGAGTCCTCACCTTGAGTACTGTGTTCAGTGTTGGGCCTCTCACTACAAGAAAGACATTGAGGCTCTGGAGCGTATCCAGAGCAGGGCAGTGAGGCTGTGAGGGGTCTGGAGCACAAGTGTTATGGGGATCGGCTGATGGAACTGTGATTATTTAGTCTGGACAAGAGGAGGCTCAGGGGTGACCTTATCTTTCTCTGCAACTACCTGGAGAGATATTGTGATGAGATGTAGTTCAGCTTCTTCTCTCACATAACTAGTGATAGGACTAGGGGAAATGGCCTCTAGTTGTGCCAGGGGATGTTCAGGTTGGATATTCTTCTCTGGCTGGAATTTCTTCTCTAAAAGATTGGTCTGGTGCTGGCACAGGCTGCCCAGGGAGGTGGTGGAGTCACTGTCCCTGGAGGTGTTCATATGCTGAGAGTAAGGGACGTGGTTAAATGGGAAAGTATAGGCGGTGGGTGCATGGTTGGACTAGATGATCTTGGAGATCTTTTACAACCCTGGTGGTTCTATGGTCTTCTATCAAGCACTTTCTACGCGCGTAAGGAAGGGCTAAAAAGCGTTAGCTGTAATTTCCTTAAGGATTATCCTACCTGGGAGAAATGAGCCTTCAAAGACATTCTTATAGGAGTATAAGGATCCCTTTGAACTTTTCTATTCACCATACTTAAGGTATTTTATATGTAATACTGAAGGTGTCTGATGGGACCAGTAAAACTTTACATCTGTTCTCTAGAGCTACATCTGGCATAGGCTGGCAGAAATGACTGACATTGCCATTTTGCCCAGATCCCACTCTGTGTAATTTTCATTCAGACTGTCTGGGCTAGTCTAATGCCTTGAGAATATCTAAGACAAGTATTTAATTAGAGTGTGTCTTTCTTCGGGGTAAAAAAAAAAACACAGGAGTGGTTAATGAGACCTCTTCGTTGATCCTTCAACACTAGTAAAGTTGCTTTACAGTGATTAAGACTGAAAAACAAGGAGTGTGAAAATATGCTAAGGAGCTGTGAAAGCAAGAGTTTCAAATATCAAGCATGTTATGTCTGGTGCTGCATTAAAGTAGGCCACCTGTAGAAATGGCAAGTGCGTTATGAAACATTAGTAGTAATTTTGCAGGAGTATGGAAAGGATGAATAATCCAGCTACTGAAAGTGAGCAGAGATGCCCAGTATCCAGTATTGTATCACACAGAACAATTAAAATGATAAATATTGAAATTTTACATGAAAGGGAAAATAAGTCTGGAAAAACACTTTAAAACACTTTTCCCCTCCCCCCCCTAACATTTGTGATACTTTTGAAGGCATTACTAAAGCAACGTCTGTTTAAAATGAAGCAATCCAAGTTAGCTGAAATGAACCAGTAGTTGACTGCTTACAGCACTTCTGTTGGTCTTCAGGGATTTTGCCAGCTTTGCAGGTGGCCTGATTACAAACACACAGTTAATGTCATCCTGTCTCAGCAAATATGGTAAAAACAGAGAATCTTCCCAACAGAAGAGCCAAAAAAAAAAAAAAAAAGCTTAAGGAGACTTTTAATTTTTTTTTTCTCCAAAATTGGCAGTGAGGAATTCCAATGTGGTGTGTTAATTGCCTTAAATACTCTGACTCGGAGCAGTAATACATCATTAATTTTTACTCAGAAGAAAAAAACCCTAAAAAGCTTGTGTAAGTTTTACTTTCATCTTGTGTGTGAGCATTGGTCTATAATTATTTTTGTTTATCTATTCTGTGGAAGAGTAGATATCTAATCTGTACGATCCTATCTAAGTTTTTGTCTTTTGTGAGGCAGAACTGATACTCAAGTAGACAGAGTCTGAGTCTGACCTAACGCTCATTTTAGTCAGTGGAAAGACTGACGAACTCTTTTTCATCAGAGGTTAATGAGAGGAAAATAATGCTCTTTGGAGTCACGGTCAAGAATCGTGTGCTGGCTGTTCCCTTCCATTTTCATCTTCATTGGGTTAGCAGTACGTATTGCACTGTTTTTTTGTTTCTCAGTTATTTCTTGTAATGGCAAGATTTTCAGAAGTTCCACAGTAAGTGAAATTAAGATTCTAAAGATATTTGACATTAAATAATGGGGATATTGAGTGAAAAACCACTCCTTTCTCCCTTCTTTCATATGTCATATTAGTCTAGTATGCTCATCTCCATACTTTTTTTTTGTTAATCTAAATTTAGAGGGAGGTGCAAATAACTTTTTGTAAGCATTGTCCAGCTTGTGTATATAGTGTAAGAACTCTAAGACTATGACAGTTACAGCAGTAAGGTATCAGATTGAAATCAGACTTTTTTATTTTAGTCCTACACTGCTCTTTTGACATGATTCAAAATATCTGAGAATACCTTCTTCGAGTGGACAGAGGTACTTCCACAAAAACGTGTGCTGTTGCCAGAAGGATGAAGCAGATTGGTTGGTAAGTGTGGCTGACCTGTGTTTGGTGCAAATGTCTGAGGGAATGGGAAGAGAACTGACTATTGCCCATACTCATGCTTGTTTCTGAGGTGAAGCAGGAGGCTTCTTGGAGAGGTTCTTGCACCCAGCCGTATGCACCCACGTAGGGTGAGAATGGCGCTGCAGTTTATAATTTCATGCAACAGTCTAAATTGCCTTTCATACAGTTTGCAGTCATATACTGGGCTGAGGATGGCATTGAATTCATATTGTTTGTAGAATCATGTAACAGCTTGGGTTGAAAAGTACTATAAAGATCACCTGGCTTCAACCCTCTTGCCATTGTCAGTGATACCTTCAACTAAATCAGGTTGCCAGAAGACCTATCCAGCCTGGCCTTGAACACTTTCATGTTTCTGCTCTACTAATGGAACTATGGGGATAGCTGCTGTCAGCAGAGGACAATGCAAACAGTATATTCTTTGAGTACATGAGCAGGTGTTAGAAAAGCTAACATCAGTAATTGGCAGTGACTCCAAATAATTCAACTCTTGAAGGTCAGCTGGATGGAGAAGAAACTGGGCAGTGATATGCCTGACAAGGCAGCACACTGGCACAGAGCAGAATTACCTCATCGGCAAGTAAAGGTCTATTGTGTTTAGTTGTTATGAGTCAGAAACATAGAATTAGGTTTGTATACATAAGAACTAGGCTTACTTTCTCTAGGTTGAAGTTTAGACAAATCGCATTGCATTCTTTTTCTTCAGCCAGTGTTGGAATAATTTTCACTGCTTCTATTTATTTTATAGCTACGTAGATTTGGCATTTAATGTTTCCTGAGAGTATAGTTAATAAAAATACAACTTAACATTTGAAATTATGTGGGTGTAGAAACTGGCTCTGAAATGTATTTATTGCTATTTTGGTGATTTTAAATAGTATCCTCTATGTCAGCACCTCAGTGGTTGTTGAGGTGAGTGAATAAGTGAAATCAGGGTCAGGAATCTCCTGTAATGAACAAATAGAAATCAGTTTCTCAGCAGGAGTGTGGTCAGCTAATTCACTTAAAGCTCTGACATAACAGCACTCAGTTTAGAGAGCTATTTCAAAATTTGGTTTCCTTAGTGGTATTTTTGAAAAATACCACTTGTATTATCTTAACATGATAAGTTGCCACGTTTTTGAAGCTGAATGCATTATGCATTAATGCCTGTTCTATCTTAAAGAGTTCTAGTCTAATAATTGGCTTTTAGAAAGGTAGCTAAGAATTTGGTGGAATAGTACATACTTGGAATATCTTCAGGGGAAGTTTCAGAAGCCACTGAAGGTTGTTTTGTTTTTTCCTTCTTGAAAGAAAGAGTTACTGAATGGGCTCTGTGAACATTTTCAAGAGGGTGCATAAGTTTTTGCTACTTAAATTTTTGCAGTACAGTTCAGTAGCTGACATTCAACTAGAAGGATTCTACAGTAGGGAATGGTACAGAAGATGTTTGTTGCTCTTTCTCACAAAGCCTTCTGAGTTGCATTATTGAAATGACGTAAAACTGATTCTTGTGCTCCAAGAGCTAAAAAACAGAAAACATAACAGAAACCCAAACAATAAAAAACAAAGAGTACATAAATATATAACTAGGTTTGATATGATCTCAAATGAAATGAAAGGAAAAATGTGCTATAACCAAGTGTGATGTTGTTTATATTATTTATGGACTGAAAACTAGTCAAAATCATGACAGTCAAAAGCAATTGGAAATATCTGACCTTCTTTTAGACATTAAACTAATTTTTCACAGTCGGTCCTGGGTGTTCAGGAATCATCAGTCAACTGACACATTCCTCTGAGAAGCAACAGGGATAAAATGTTTTTCAAAATATATTGTCTTTGTTTGGTTGTTTGTTTTGCTAAAAATGTGTTGTATATACAAAGAGAGCATTACAGAGCTGCAGGGATTTCAAATAGAAAGGATTAAGAGAGTCCTAATTCCCAAACTGCTATTTACTTATTAGCCAATATCACTTTCATATGATATGCACATTCTAACCAGAATCCCCAAAGATGAGGCCCAGAGGGAGTAGCTGTCTGTACAAAATGAGAACCAGTAGCAGAGTTTGCAATTAACCTTAGCTTCTTGGCGGATAATGAAGTTTCATACATTTTTTATTGTGAGTTATTAATCCAAATATTAATGTCTATGGGGAATACAAGGAATCGCTTCTGCTATTAATTTTCATTTTCTTCTAATTTAAATTGTTGTCATCCCATGAAACAGAGCAATTTCATGCAATTTTGATGATGAATGACAAACCAGCAGTAGGAAAATACTGAGAGAAAGCTGCTTGAAATCAATTCTGGACTGAGAACTCCTTGGTGTGTGTAGCAATATGTTTACCTGGAGAAATTGTGATCCTCTAACAAATCATTTATAAATGGAAAAAGAAGGCTGAATTGGTCATAAATATTAACAACAACAGCCCTTCCAACCCACTGTATTTTGTTCTGCAGACATATGGCATTCAGGTTGGATAGCTGAGAATAAGAGCTTGGTTTTCCATTAGAAATGGTCTCTTGGCATTGCTTTAATATCAGAATGGAAAGTAACCTGGCGAGGGCTATGTACTGGAGAATCCTTGCTGGGGGAAAAAAAAACAACTATGAAACAAGACTGAAACAATTATGGCAGATTGTGTCTATCTTTCCATTGAAGACATTTTTTCACGCAGTGTGACCTAGAAAAAAGGGGCTGGCCTGAGGTTCATGTAACAATCACTGATGGTGACAGCAAATTAGAATGTCTGTGTTTTCCTTGTCATGTGGTGGTCTTTTTAGCTATCTGGAACATATTCATTTGACTTAAAATAAGCACCACAGTTTTTTAACATGCATATAACAAAAGTTCAGAGTAGAAGTATATATTGTATATGTGTGTGTGTACATATATATATATAAAAGGATATATTGGGAGATTGGAAATTTTGGCATGTTTCTTTCCAAAGTGATTGTAATCTGACTACAGGAAAACCTGCAGCTCAGTCAGGCACTCAGAGCCATGTCCAGCCTGGCCATGAAAACCAGGTGTGACATCCACCACCTCTCCGTGTAGCCTTTGAGTGCTCAAACTCTGTGCAGCAGTTTGAGTGCTTCACTGCCCTTATCACAAACAAACAAACAAACAATTTTTTTTCTGAATTTTCTCTCTTTTAGTTTGAAGCCTTTTTACCTAGTCTTATCACGACAGACCTTGCTCCAGCAGTCTCCTACTACACAACAGGTGTTTTCACCTTATGCATTCCAGTACTCGTTTTGTCTGGGGAGTCTGATAGTGCAAAGCAGAACCAAATAATACATTTTCACTGATGGTTTTTTTTCTGTGTATTTTGGATAAGCAGGTTCCAAAGAAATACCTATATTTAACTGCAAAATTTATTTACTTAGTACTTTTCTGGAAAATATCATGCTATCTACACCATACCATTCTCTCAGGGTATATATACTCCTGTGCATACGTATGTCACTTACCAAAGAAGACAAATTACCATGATAAATGAATTCCATGATCAACAAAGACAGTCCTTTTTTTTTTTTTTTTTTTTTTGAGTGCTAGAGTGGTAGTTAAAGTATACTCTATACTTACATGTCTTATCATTCTTTATTAGTGGAAAGATTTTGTTTCTGAGAAAAGCAGGGCTTTTGCTGAATTTGGAGCTCAGTAAGAGCAAGAGATGCTTTTGATCAGATTCCTTATCTCTGGATAGGCAGTGATTCCCTATGAACAGCTTTGTTTGTCCCTGGCCTTGAATCATGGCTATACACAGCATACTGAAATGCGAATTGTTTTGTCTGGAACTCTAACCAGATCCCTCAGGTATTCCATGACTTCTGTTCTTGAATTTCCTGTAGATATCAGCTGGAGCTTTCTCTACTTTAACACAAATATGCGAAATAATGTGTGTTCTTGGCTGTTCGTGTCTGACCTAAGAGGTTCTCTCACACTCTGTTTCTGAGAATGTAAACATCCACAGTTATACTACAGCTTACGCATGTCAGTGAACGGATTGCCTTCAGATAGGAATTATTTCATTTGACCTAGATACCACAGATCTGGGTCAAATTTTAATTAGTGTGAATTAGTCACTGATTCTACAAGCCATTTGCATTATGCTTGTATTCAGACTTATGTGTGCTATTAATCCCTCTGAAATCAACTGGTATTACTCAAGGTCTCCAGAGTGTAACCACTGGTATGATGAAAGTTTTGATGGTGCTGGCAGTTTGTAACTATTAGTCCTATCAGCATCCTTTTTCCCCTCCAAAATGCAAACCTCAGAGAAGGAAATTCTGGGTGAGACCATTGGTCAGAATGGGGTGACAGCAGAAGGTTCCATCTTGCACTTTGATGAAAGGTTCAAGTCACTGGAGATGTTGTATCATAGGCTATACTGCCAGTCTTCACCTCTCCCCTATGTAGCTCTTTTGGCATGGGGGCAAAAAGCCAGCATCCCAGAGGCCCTTACAGAAGATGGTTATTCAGGCTTGTTTGCCATCAGAAGAAAGGTAACATCAAAAAAATAATTCGAACAGAAATAATTATTTTGCTCTTTTTGTAGTGAATTCGTCCCATGTTTAGAGGATGAGAAAAAGTGTGAGAGTTCGAAAGAAAATTGTACTAATAAGTTATGACAGCTGGCTTGAATAGACATGGAAATCACTGAAGAGCACATATTCATACCACAGGCTATGCTGTACTGTAAGCCACAAAGCACATTCGGTATAAAACTTCTCTTTGGATCAGGAGCTGACTGACTGAAAAAGAGAGCAGTCTCTTGCTGACATGGTGGCACAGCCAAGAAATTAATTTAGTTGTGTAAAAGTGAGTGGACTGAGAATAGGGGAAGTGGAACGTGTCAAGATGTGAGAGTAAGGTGGTGGATGGTGCACAAGTCAAGGTGAAAAAAGCTGATCTGGATTTCATCTTCACCAAAATGAACAGATTAGAGATATTATGTAGAAAGAAATAATTAGCT